AACAGTTTGGTGACATCGAGTTCAATCGTAGAGAGTGTGAGGGGTATTAGCAAAAGTGCAATTCTCGGGTGAATTAGTTAGCGAGCTCTCCTCCCCTCCCCTCCCCTCTCGCGACGCGCCCGCGCGCGTCGGGGGAGAAACCCTAGCCACCGCTCCTCCCGTCCTCCTCCCCCTCCCTCCGGCCGGTAGGCGTTGACGGGCAAAGCCCGGTCGGCGCGGCGGCGGCGGGGCCTTTCCTTCCTCCTCTGCCTTCGGGGTCCGTCGCGGGGTGGAGCTCGTTGGTGGCGGCGCTGGGCTTCGGCAGGGCCCAGCGGCACGACGCCGGTGGTGCGGGGCGGCGGTGCGGCCGTCTGGTGGCGGCGCGGCGGCGGTCTGAGCCCCGGTGGTGGTGCGGCGGCTGCTGGGTGGTCCGACTCGGGTGGCGGCGCGCTGGTGGGCGTCTGGCCAGATCCGCTCGGATCTGGCGCCTAGGGTCCGGCTGGCGACGCAGGGGGTGGTGGGAGCTCGCCTGAGCTCCTGTGTGCTGCCGGTCGGCGGCGTCTCGTGCGGGGCAGTGGGAGGTTGTGGCGGCCGGCAGCGCGTGTTGGTGGATGCGTGTCCAGCCGGGGGATCTCGGGCTCCCTGTTGGATGGCTCAGGCTGCGCTGGCCTTGGACCGCGGTCGGCTGCCTCCTCCATCCCCGGGGAGGCAGTGGCGTGGTGGTGGTGGTGCCCTGGGAGGAGTGTGGCCAACGACTTCGACGCGGGGGGGAGGGGGGAGGGTCACAAACAGTTCGGTGACATCGAGTTCAATCGTAGAGAGTGTGAGGGGTATTAGCAAAAGTGCAATGACGCTAAATGTGTCACCGATAGCGTGTTCTCGGGTGAATTAGTTAGCGAGCTCTCCTCCCCTCCCCTCCCCTCTCGCGACGCGCCCGCGCGCGCCGGGGAAGAAACCCTAGCCACCGCTCCTCCCGTCCTCCGCCCCCTCCCTCCGGCCGGTAGGCGTTGACGGGCAAAGCCCGGTCGGCGCGGCGGCGGCGGGGCCTTTCCTTCCTCCTCTGCCTTCGGGGTCCGTCGCGGGGTGGAGCTCGTTGGTGGCGGCGCTGGGCTTCGACAGGGCCCAACGGCACGACGCCGGTGGTGCGGGGCGGCGGTGCGGCCGTCTGGTGGCGGCGCGGCGGCGGTCTGAGCCCCGGTGGTGGTGCGGCGGCTGCTGGGTGGTCCGACTCGGGTGGGGGCGCGCTGGTGGGCGTCTGGCCAGATCCGCCCGGATCTGGCGCCTAGGGTCCGGTTGGCGACGCAGGGGGTGGTGGGAGCTCGCCTGAGCTCCCGTGTGTTGCCGGTCGGCGGCGTCTCGTGCGGGGCAGTGGGAGGTTGTGGCGGCCGGCAGCGCGTGTTGGTGGATGTGTGTCCAGCCGGGGGATCTCGGGCTCCCTGTTGGATGGCTCAGGCTGCGCTGGCCTTGGACCGCGGTCGGCTGCCTCCTCCATCTCCGGGGAGGCAGTGGCGTGATGGTGGTGGTGCCCTGGGAGGAGTGTGGCCAACGACTTCGACGCGTGGAGCTCGCCTGGCGGCGCGGGTTGGGCAGTGGCCGGGGTGGTCGCTGCTCCGGCCGTGGATGGCTCCACGGTGGCTTGGCAAGTCGGCTTCGGCGACGGCTGGCACGTCCTGGCGTCGGTCCGTCCGTAGGC